GATACTGTTCTGTTCTGTCCTACTCCTCCTTAACTATCTAAGTGATCACAGCTCAGCAGCTTGCAGTGCTGCTTCTGCTTCTGTAGAAAGGCAATATTAGCCAGGCTTTAGCAGTTCCCATTGTTTATTTTGGTCTACCCTTTATGCTTCTCTGAAAAATATGCATGTAAAAGAAGAGGAATGCTAACTTTTAACACTTGATATTTCAGAATATCCCTGCCGATTAGTAAAAGTTTGACAAGAAATGGAAGTGGCAAAATTCGCAAGAAAAAATTTACAAGAAGCAATACTTAGAATATGATGTACTGAGAAGATTTGGGTGGAACACTTTTCTGCTAATATCTTCCTAAACAGCAGAGGTGTATAAACACTCATCTTTCCAGCTTGACTCAAATATGTATCAGTATGTCAGTAGTTTGTATAGCATTGTGTTGTGTGTAATTATTTGTTGCAATATACATTTAAACTTGGTATCTTCATAGGACTAAAAAAGCTTAAAAAGGTGTTAACTAAGTTACAGAGATGGAAAAAGAGGAAGGCTTTTTGTCATTAATTAAACATAATTGTGTTACTAGATTAATTCTAATTGTTTAAAATTTGTCAGAAATTGCAGCATCTCAACATTTCATTCTAAACGAAAAAGAAGTTCTCCTGAGTTAGAGCTGTTTCTGGCTTATTCCAGAAAGCATACAAGTGTTGACGCTTTATCCATATCCTACATAAGCATTGAAGCAAATATTAGTTGCTATGAAGATAATCCCTTTCTTTTCATCTAATTTGTATTTGCACTGGTTAAGTATTATCTCTATTCTGTAGGTCCTTTGAGACATAAAAGAACAAAAGTTATTTGCCTATACTCAGGAGGTAGCATCAGTCATCTGTGAAAATTCCAGCCTCAACAGACTTATCACTAGAAATATGAGTTGCTGGTAAATAGCTTCAGTACTGTAGACAATTTCTTCAAAGCTAGTATTTGTTCTTCTGTTCTTGTTTTATATTGCTGTTATTGAGAGCATTTGAATAAATGATACAAATGTCATGAACCACTAAGACATGAAAACAAAAATATTCTAAATGCAAAAATTGCACATAGACTATCACTTGGGATTTTTTCTGAATATGGTTGAATAACCTTCAGAAATTACATCCACCATCCTGTGAAGGTTACTTCAATTAATTCTGTGCTTTCAGATCCTTACTTTCTGTCCAAAATTTTTCTGAAGACCCAAACTCAAAATCTGTCTAGTAAGAGAGCTGGCCTGGAATTTGGTCCCTGACCATCTGATCAATTGTTTTGCAAAGAGGAAGTATAATAAAAGCCCAGGAACCTGGAACACAGATGACTCTTTAGCATTCTGACTGTCATTGCTACCTACATTTCTGAGCAGTTTCCTTTAACGTGTTAGTACTGGTTTTTATGACAGCATTGTAAAGAAGACAGATTAGAGAACTTCTTCCCTACTTTCAGATTTACATGTGTGCTATTCCTAGTGGGCACCCCGTAACATAGGAGAAGCTTAGAGAATTAATTTCAGCCAGAAACTTTGACGCTTCCTGCATTTTGAACTTGGTGATGTAAATATATGAATTCTAATTAGCATATCATCAAATCCAGCCAGAAAATACTTGTACTACTTGTTCCCATCTCATGTAAGGTTCAATGTTTTATAATTAATAATTTAAAGAAAAAAAAACCAAACTTCAAAAAGTTTGTTTGGATTGAGAAATAATATTAAGAAAATAGTTTAAAAAGTTAAATTGAGAACTGAGGTGCATGAAAAATACATCTTAGTGATAAGAAACATATTTCCAAATACTTGGTGAGGAAAAATCAGCAAGGACTATCTCACAAAAAAATTGTGTCAAGAACCCATATTGGACACCCGTCTGATCTGTAAAAATAGTGATCATCTTAAAATTCTTTCTGAAAAAGAGAGTTAGTTTTGAAGTTATTTAAAATTGGTGTTAATATATTCTGGAATTGTAGCCTGTATATAAGGTTTTCTTTACAGACATACCTTCTGAACTTTCTGGATAGACTAGCTCTGTGTGTGTACACATACATATGCTGCTGTACACTTAAAAACACACTGGTGAGCAAGATGAATAAGGTCTGTTATCTGACTGTGCACCATAATGTCACAGTAAAGGTATTCCTCTACAAATTCTGTGGCATAAATTTGCATTGGTCATAATTGCATCAGTTAGTGCTACAAGAGACATCTAACAAAAGAAATGGAGACATGTTTTGTTCAGATTATTAAATGAGTTGGAAAGGTTAACCAGCCTTGAGCCAGAAAATGTTCTAGACCAATTTTCTTTTTTTTTTTTTTTTTCCCCCTGGTTTTCTACAACAAATATTTAAAAGTGCATTTGTCCCCTGTAAAAAAAACTACCTCAAAAAAAATGCTTCTTCCTTGTCATCAGACTTACCCTTTCTGTTCAAAGTCAGTTCTGTGTGGCTAAAATAATTTTCCTTTAATGCAGTAGTATTTGCAGAGGAAAGGGAATTAGTTAGCTTGTGGTTTCTGTTATCCATAATCAATTAGATAGTTTACTAATCTGCAATTAGTTGCACTTTTCAAGACCCACTGAAAGTAACACAGTTGCTTAACTGCTTGGAAGAGCCTGAGGTTACAGGGATAAGTGAAGTGACATAATTTGCCTTTCTAAAACATTTCCTATTGATTCCTCATGAGAAAGGAAGATCTGAGAAAATTTACAAGGCCAACACTTAAGTCAAACAAAGGTTTTTGCTTGTAACTTTGTACTTCCAATATCCAAATTACAGCAACTAAAAGCACAGAACTTCAATTTTTGTCTCTACGTAGTCATTTTTCTGAGCACAACCATACTTTATTCCTGTAAAGAGTTTCAGGACATGGTACATCTGAGGGTCTAGTTTAGAATGGGATGAATTACCTCCTGGAAGACCCTGGGAACTACTCAGTTGCCAAAACTCAGACATCTAATAGCACACTGGATGCTCTGAGCTAGTATTCCTGATTTACAGCTGCTGGCTCTTATGTAAAGCTCTATTCATGCACATGCCTTGGATACCCTTGGACATCCAAAATGACAATAGATATCTGCATTCAAGCAACTGAGTCCCACCCCCTGCTTCCCTCTGACTAAAACAGAAACCAAGGATAACTATCTTGGCCTATTGATGCCTCTGTTTGGTCAGATGACTCCTATACTGAAAGTCTTCAGAGCAGACTTTGTAGGCTTTTACAGTCGTCTATATCCTAGAAATTCAGGAAATCATTAATACCAGTTATTTTCTCGATTTAGAAAGCTGTAATATAATCTAATAAGCAAAATAAATACATTTATCTCACTAGTATTAGATAATAGTCAAAACAATCAGTGTATAGGCATGGTTGTCCTAGATTCAGATGCTTGGTGTTTGAAGAAACAGACTGTCTTGTTACCTCTGCCTTAGAAGGAGCTTTTCTCTAATTATACAATTTTATTTAATTGGACTCTAAAAGTATGCAAATACTTAATATTGTCCTTTTCTAATTTTTGCTGTCTGTTTTGATAAGAATGTCAGTATCAAATTCTTGGCAGCAGCTTTGGAACTGCAAATTTTTGTTCCCAGGTTCCAGAGAGACAGAACTGGAGCATGGCAGGCTAGGGATAGTATTTTTCAGTAATTAACCTCATTTTCAAGATGTCTCAATGTAGCAAAACGCCTTTGCTACATTGAGGCTTTGCAGTGGGATGGCTGTGGTGTCTTAGTGTTGCTCCTAAAATGGGAGATTACCTGAAAAACATTACCCTAGGAAGCTTCAACACAGATTTTAGGTTTAAGAAACACTATCTCAGAAAGACAAAGTAAGCAATCCCTGGGCCACTGACTATAGCAGAGGTAGATAGCAGGTAGCCTTACCCGAGGAGGGTAAAGTGCTGTCTTTTTGTTAGATTCTAGTGGAATAAAAAATTACTTACATTGTAAAACCAACTACTATGCAATAAATGTCACACTATGGAAAGTCTAGCAGTATGTAGTTTAGGGTGAGTAAAATGATGCAGTACTGATTCATAAACCCATGTTGAAGCCTAGATCCGTCTGGCTTTGTACCACAGGCCTAAACAGTTGTACAGGCTCACTAGAGCTGTTGGTCCATTTTCTAAAATATCTAATTAGTTTTCTAGCAGCTATTATTTTACATTTCAGTTCTGATTATCTAGCTACTGTAAGCCTTTTTCAGGACAAGGTCATCTCATATTATTGGTAGATTTTGCTGTTAAGGAGGATGCAGAATTTCATTCCAGAGGGACAACTTCCCAAGGTTTAAGGTTTTTTTCTTAACAGTTATTCCTTATGTATGGCAGAGATTCTAAAAGCTTTGGTTTGAAATTGCAGTTTCCAAATACAGGATAGATAAATATATATTAGATATAGCTGTAAGGCTTCTACTGACAAAACTACGAATTCATTGAGCTTATTTGACAAACTGACTCTTCCACTTTGTAACTGACTCAGATATCTAGTACTGGCTTGTGTATTTTCTATTGAGATTGAGAATGTGGACTTTTTATTTGCTTTCTAGAGGTGTCACTTGAATAGATGATTGTCTGTATTTGAGAGAAAAAAAAATCTTTTTTTACTTTTGTTTCTCAGAAAACAGAAATCCACCAATCATATGCCTAAAACAAACAAAGCTTTTATTGTTGTTGTTTATCTGTAGAACATTACTGTATGTCACAGGCTGTGGATAATTAGGTAGAGAAAATTCTCTTTGACTCATGAACAGGTTGTTATATTGACTTTTCACTTGGTAGGATGATGGAGAGTTAGTTGTTTGGATGTTGTCACAAAAAGGAAAATATTTTTAAGAAGTAATCATACTGAGCATATAGCTATTCTGATTACATAAATACTGCTGCAAATTTTAACATTATTCCTTAAACTCTCATCTGAGATGTTGGGCTTCAGAAACATTTTCACACTGTGCTTATGGGGTTTTTTTGTTTGTTTTTTTTTTTCACAGATCCAGGCCATGTATGACATTACCCAGTATGAGAATATTTTTCCTTTGTGCATGATTCTGGAACAACTTCTTCAAAATGAGACAGAAGAAAGTAATGTTTCAAGCTCAGACTATGATGGAGAAGAAAAAATCAAATTTCTGAAGAACCTTGATCAAATTATTCTTCATCTCTCAGATGAATACCCTTTGTTTTCTTTGTATTTATGGAGAGTGAATGTTCTTTTGAACTCAGCTCAAATACAAATTGATTAAAACAAGCAGCCTACTTTTTAACAGTGCAATTGTTGTGGGATTGCATTGGTAAATCAGACAGGAAAATTGTTGTTATTGGAAAACATTTACTTTAAACTACTATACTATACAGAATAATATCTTTTCAGAGATAATGCAATTTATTTCCTATTTTAAATATAGAAAAAATGTAATAATCCAGGTGTCATTTTGAATAAATGCTGTTTCTTGTAAAGGAAAACAGTATGTTGGCATTTGCATACACAGTGAAAATAGAAACAAAGGAAGTTGTTTCAGGTGATGTTTAAAATAAGCGCTATGAATTTTAAAGTCAAGGCATAACATATGTGTAGAGCTGAGCTACCAAGTTAAGAAACTAATACTTGTCTTAGTTGTATAGCTTCTGTGAGGTTTAGAGATAATGGCTGGTTGACGGAAATAAAAATGTCTGTTTTGGTAACTTATCACTACAAATTCTTATAGGACAGAGTTAGTTTCTAATTTAATCAAAAGAGTCACTAGCTGAGCAAAACACAATCTGGTGCTCAGTTTTACGACTTTCTTACATTCATTGTATACTGCTTGGCTTTACTTGTGTGTGCACAAGTTTAGGCACAGTAGGCCTAATTCACTTAGTTGGCTAATGATTTCAAGGTTTTAATCAATAAATTTTAACTCCTTTAATGATTACTTTAAACCTTTCTGCTCAAAATTAATGAATATTGATAAAATCCCCTTTGTATATTTATGTATTATCTGATGTCTAAATTTTTATTTGTGTGATGGAATTATATTCATAGTAATAATTAAAGCAATCTATTTTAACAGAAATCATCTTAAACATAAAAGACCTTTAAAATATGAGTTCAACAATACCTTAACTGATCCAGAGTCTTTTATAAATTTGGAGGGTAACTGTTATATCTCCTAGTAGTGCCTATTCACAGTAAATACAAAACTTTTTTAGCATTCGTCCTTATCCTTCACCTTGCACTTGTCCTGTCAATTTTTGTCAGAAAAATTCTCTGAAACACCAACTTTTTAAAATACTGTAAGTACTTTTTCTTGTTAATTTGAATGCATTTATTCCAGATATTTGTTTTCTATACATGTAAAATATATTAATATTGCAAAACAAGTTACTTTGATGTTGAATTGGCTCCCCAAAGAGTGATTCTTAGAGTTGTTTAGACACAGCTACCGTTCTGTTTCTTAAACTTCACATTTGGTGTGTCATATGGTAACGTTTGTTTAATGCTTTGTTTTAGCAAACTGTCTTTCAACAGAAATGTTTGATTTGCAAAACAAGGATTCCTGTATATTCACATTAGAAAATCAGATAAGTTTAGCCAAATTAAAGAAAATAAGTAACTATGTAAATTTGGTAGCCACTCAGGGACTACTGTGCCCTTTTTGTTACAGCTTTACTTTTTTATTTGTTTGTTTGATTAAGGCAGAGGATCAGTTCTTCCACCTCCTTCCACAGTGCTGAAAGAATGATTACAAAAAGAGCAAGGAAAAGAATAAACAAAAGGAACTGGTATCTAATTCATATAATAATTTTAATTTTCATTTTTTAATAAAGCTCTGTTCAAAAGTACTTTGTAAAGAAAAGACACAAAATACAGGAGGATACTGGAATCTGTGTAATAGCAAGAACAGTTTCAACACTAGATTGCATACCACTGCATATTTGCTGATCTATTAGCAAAAAGTACTTTTGTTATTAGTAAAGCAACTCAGGCAGAAAGGGATACATATTTTTTTCTTTGCAGATTTCAGCATTTTCTCATTGGCAAGTTCTCTAGGCCACCAGAAGAGCAATGGATATTTTGGGAAACACATGCATCCTTAATAAGTTTTGAAGTAACTGCCAACTTGAGATTTCCTAAATCCTTTTCACAAGGTGCAGAGAGCAGCGGGGGTTTTGTGTCCAGAGTTGGAATAACTACAGGGCACTTACGCTTTGACAAGGATTTAAAACAGTTTGTTGTGCAACTTTGAAAGTGTTGGGACAGAGTGAGAGTTCACCATTACAGGAATTTAGACACACACTAACCTCTGCAAAACTGCTATTAACTGGTCACCTGGGCTCTCCTTATCTGTTTCAGTGGGAGCAATAACCTCTGCAACCAGAATAGTTCTGAGACAGATTGTTGTCTCATGTTTCTTGAAGAGATTTTTCACCAAGATGGGACTTGCTTCAAGATGAAGATGCACAAAGGTAGATATGTGCATTTAGATGTCTCCATGTTGTTGGGATAACTAAACTGTGAAATACAAAGTACCCTAATGTTTTGGGCTGCGTCTCCAGCTGCCACCCCAAAGGACTGCAGATCTTCTGTAAGTCCTATGTCACATTTTCTCTCTTTATGTAGATGTCTCTGATATCCTGGAGCATCTTTAGTGGCACTGTCACTAAATAATAACTGCTTAGGCAACTGAATCAAGCATATAGGCACCTTAATATGAGAACTAAATCCCATCCGTGTGATACCTTATCTGTTTTTAGGAGCAGGGAGTCATAGGTTTAAGTCCATGCTCTTCAGACAAATTCTGTTCTTGTCCAATAACTGTTAGATGAAACTTAAGTGAACAGTCTTCAATTTTCAAATAAGCTAGTCCCTGGAGTTAGCTGTTACAGGTGAGGATTTGCAACCTGGTTGGAAGAAACCTTACTGCAGCTTGGACTTATAACTAAGTCTTAAAGTACTTACTAAATAAGTGTGACATCCAACTTTTACATATCTTGTCTCCAGAGAGGAATCCCAAATCCAGAGAAAGCACCTATGGTCTTTGCTGAGTGGAGACTATTAGGTGTCTCAAAAGAACAATCTTAAAGTCCCATGTGCTGAGTATAACATGTCATAGACCTAAAGAATATGAAACAGTAAAAAGAACTTGGTCTCACCTGTCATTGTTACCTGGAGTGTTTCACCTGAGTTACCCTTACAGGTTTAGAATTAACAGTTCAAGGATATTTCTTTTGTCTTGCTGATTTTCTTTTTGTAAATATATATACTTTAGAATTTCACAAAATGCTAATGTTCTGCAATGCGAATTGTTCAGACTTATATATATATATATATATATATGTATATACACACACACACATATTGCTGAATTATATACTTATATGGTTGAATTAGCATGGCTTATTAATTAGTAGCCTAATAGCAGTTTATGATTTTGTAATTTGTTACTCTGCCACATACTTAGCTTCCCAGGTGACTGTTTTGTACCTGTCTCCATCTGTTTTAAAAAGAATTTTATGGTGGAATGTCTCCTATGCAAGTAGAAAAATTATGAGACAAAGAAAATAAATTTTTATTCTAGTGCTGCTCCATTGACTGTTCTGTTCGCTGAAGAATTTTACATGCCTACTAATGACAGGGTGGGATTTTCAAGTGAACTGTCTCAGGATATTTTTGTAAACTTTATTTGGAATATTTTTATAATCTCTGATTTATTATTTTTTATAAGGTAGTTATTGCTTGTATATGTTGGTAATAGTGGGAATGAAATTGCACTTTATTTTAATCCTGTAATGATTTTTTTTTCTTTCAGTTTTCTATTCATTACTAGCTGATACAGTAACACTTTATTGTTCACTGTGGCACAACATTCAGCTGATGTTCGCATGATCATAGGAGAATTCGGGTTGGAGGGGACCTCAAAGGTCTCCAGTTCAACCTCCTGCTCAAAGCAATGTTAGCTGTGGGGTCAAACCAAGTTGTCTGTTGCCGTTTCAACATTCAGTCAGGTATTGAAAGCTTTCAAGGACAGAGACTGCACTTCTCTGGATAACCTGTTCTGCTTGACTGTCTTCCTAGTGAAAATTTTTTTCCTTACTGTTGTTTCATTTTATGCTCAGTTTCTAGTCTTCCCACCACCCAGAGCCTGGATCTGTCCCCTTGATACCTTCCCACAGGCACTGAAGGCTGCTGCTAGGTCCCCCTGAAACTATCTCTTTCCCAGGCTGAACAACCCCAGCTCCCTTAACCCACCTCACAGTGCAGATGCTCCAACCCCAGCCATCTTGGTCGCCCTCCACTGAACACACTTTAGTTTATCAACATCTTTTTACTGGGGGCCCAAAATGGGCAGTAGTAGTTCAGATGCAGAATAACAAGTGCTGAGTAGAGGCAGGTAATCCCTTCACTTGATCTGTGCTCCTGCTGACACAGCCCAGGATACTGTGGGCCCTTGTTGCTGGCAGGGCCACTGCAGGCTCACGGTCAGCTCACTGCCCACCATGGCCCCCAAGGGCTTTACCTGCAGAGCTCCTCCCCAGCCAGGCATTCCCAGCCTGTATCACTGCAAGGCGCTCCTCCTTTCCAGGTTGGACACTTTGTAATTGTCCTTCCTGAACTTCATAGTCCAATTCTTCCAGCCAGCATTGGTCCTTCTAAAGACAGACCTGCCCTCATGCATGTTAACTGGGACTCCCAATACAGTGTCATCCTCAAATTTGGTAAAGGTGCACTCCATGACCTCTTCCAAGTCACTGATAAAGATGTTAAACAGGACACATTCCAGGATAGCTTCCTGTGACACTCCACTTTTGTCAGGCATCCAGGTTAAGTATGGGTAAACCCATTAACAATTACACTGCAGGCTTGATCATCGAATCAAAGTTTTTACTGACCTGGTTTTTAACCTATCCAGACACATCTGATCCTTGCATTGCAAGGACACACAGTTCTGTCAGCAACCATGAATGTAGACCACCAGATCCCATGGACATATATGGGCTGAAATCTCACAAAGAAAAACCCAAATGTGATCTTTGGCTAATCCCAATTGTTCCTCTCTTTGAACACTTTCACTAAGCAGAAGTGCCTAGGAGACCCTGTTGAAGACTGAAGCAAAGACGACATCAAATTCCTTAGCCTTATCTGTGTCTCCTGTCACTGGAAGTTTTATCCTTTTTAAATCCTTAATTTGATTGAAAGCCATCTGTGAAATACCATGATGTAAATCACTTTGAAAGTCATCAGTAATGTAGTTGTTTATCTTTG